GTCTTCCCAAGATTGGAGGTCATGTGAGCCACGTGCTCAAAACCTGGGTAGAAGGTTAGTAAGGGACGATCCCAACCAGAAATAGCTGCGGATATCCGCTTTCTAAATTCTTGAAACATGGTTCTGGGATTACGACCATTTTAATACCAAGGGTGTTGAGCATGTGACTCATGTTGAGCGCCCGCCAGGTGAGATTTCCTCGCCGGAATTCAGCGCAAGGCGCCTTCCATTGCTGCCCATCCAAGCTGCTTGCTGTGCTTTCCCTATCAAGGCCTTGTTAAGGGCTTAATAGGCGCTTAAAGGGGCTCCCTCCCCCTCCCCTCCCTCCCCGCCAGCCCCCATGATGCTCGGATCGTTTGCCACGCCTGATGGATTTTGTTTATCTTATGGAAGAACCACCTGAGGCTCATGACATAGCCTTGTCACCCGGTTCCTTTGATCTGAGCACGTAGATGAGACGTGTACCAGAATATCCAACCGCCAACGAAGCGTGAGCCTGAGCAACCTCAAGACTTCTCAGGGCTTGGCTCCTGGTTGAAGCGTGAACAATCAAATGAGTTTTGTGCAACGGCTTCTCCAGTTTTGTGAAAAGTCGCTTATTTGGGCCTCCTTCTTGATGCTGCAAACATCATACAATTTGTTGCTGGGTTTTGTTGAACGACAATTGGCAACGGAAACCCATGTTTCCGCGTGTGTGTGTGTGTGTGGTGCCCCATCAGTCGCATTCTCAGAAAAGCATGGAGAAAGAATGCAGATCCCAAAGCAAGACGCCGCACTTCATTTGGGTTTGTCTCAATTTTAGGGGACATCAAAACAGGCGGGTGTCCTTTTCTCAAAGATGCTAGGACAGCATAAATCAAACTAGGAAATAGACAATTTTCCTCTTTACCATCATCAAACTAGGGGATTTTCTTTTGACACCACCCAAATCATCTTTTCTGTTCTTGAATGGCAGAGGCCTTGGCCGTTCTGATCGAGTCCGCCCTAGCAGCGCTAAAGGGCGCCGCGACGGATGAATGGCCCGGATCTCGGATTGTCGTCCAGCTGGGCTCGTGTGCTCTTGCTGGCGTCCCTATTGGTGCCCTCAAAAATCCCGACCCAGGAACCAGCAAGGCGGTGGCTGGTCAGATCATTACTAGGTCCCCCAGTAGTGCCCTTTCTCACCCTGTTTTGGGGGAGGGTTCCCCTACTAAAATAGACTACAGAAAAAGTTGGTACCCTTCTTCCAACGTCTCTACTGGAGGACCTAGACTAGAATCGCAGAGATACTTATCCCATGTTTTCTCCTTGCTGTGGTGGCCTGAACCAACGGAACCAGGAAGGATCCGATGGGGCGACCGGTTTTGGATATACTCGATCCAAGATCCGGGGTTCTTGAGCGGCCCCAGTTGCTGCGTCAGCATGATATTTGCACATCAGGGAGAGGTGGAGCCTCGTTTGTTGCGAAAGCAAAAGGACAGAGAACCAAAGGGCAAAGTCATGTTGCTTGACTTCCAAAGGATTCTTCAGCAAGGGGTCTTCATATGTTTCAACATGCTGAAACCAATGCCTTGTGATGGCTTCCGTTGCCAACATCGGCTTTGGACTCCTAGCTTTGATGCCCCACCCCCCCCATCCCACTGGTGTTTGCCTGGCTGGACGGCATCATAGCAAGGAGCTTCATTCGCAAAAGCGGGTTTACTACGGAATCAATGGCAGTTGGACCCCTGGTCCTAACGCAAAAGCAAGCTTTACGAGAAGTCCCTGTTTTGACATGAGCAGGAACGCCTGACAGATGCTCTGCGTCTCAATTCAAAACTTGGTGTTCAATTGGTCGGCGTTTCGATCGTTGGTGACGAGCCCCTATTCCCATGTTTCCTTCACCCCAGTTGAGTCACTTGCTCAAAACCGATTCGGGTAGAAGAAGCTTGGTAAGGGACGATCCCAACCAGCAAGTGGATATCCGCCTTCGACAAATTCTTGAAGCATGGTTCTGGGATTGCGACCATTCTACTACAGGGTTTTGAGCATGTGACTCAGTGGAAACTCGGAGTCCTCCACCGGACGGTGACGCCCAAACAGGCAGAAGCGCCAATGCGCCTGACTAGGTGGCTTGGGTCAACTATATGCACCCCAAAATGGAATCCTGGTGAAGGGAAGCATGGACCAAACCCTGCGGCCGATTCCTGGTGGTTTGATTTTGACCCATACCCAGGTCAATGCCTGCTGAGAGCTCGAAGGAACGTAGAAGCGCCGGACGCAGTTTCCAGTCTTGCCCGTCTCGGGGCTCGGGGCGGCATCCTGTCACCATGCGGCAAGACGAAAACACATCCACTATCGCGCGTTTATCGTATAGACCAGGAGACGTTCAATCAAAAGATTTATTTTTTGGTGACTTCCGGCGAATGGTGGTCAAGCCCAGGTTACCTAGCGCCAATTTGGTCCAGGGTCCTTTGGTCTTTGATGAACGCCAGAGTTGCAACTTGACTCATCTTGTTGATCCATATATCTCGAGCCAAGTTTTCCCATGCAGCATTGAACGGTGTGCTTTGCGTTTCGTGCTTTCCGTTCCTCAGACGAGCACGGAAGTGGATCGAGTGGAGGTGCGTTTTCGACCAGCCTAGCAGCCTCCGTTGCGGCAAGATTTGAAGCTGTCACACTCCTTCGTCGTACATAGTGGCCTTGTTCAAAAAGAACAGGCTCGCTGCAGCTCTTTGCCATCAGAAGCGTCCCTGTCTTATTTCCCGCGCCTAGGGACTCTACGCGGGATCCGTGGGTAAGTTGGGTATGGCGACGCATCTCCCAGTTCCCTCGGTCCGAACATGTCCTATGGGAAGCTTCCCACTCGTGAAGCCCGCGGTTCGCTTTGACCTCGGGGCCAGTTGAGTTGTTTTCTCGCCTTCGCTCTAGGCCCGGTGTTGAAAGGAGAAGCTTAGGGAACGGCTTGATTTCCATGAGCGTCCCTTGGAGCATTTCCGGGAGTGCTTGAGTGACTCATTCTTGCCGTGCGATGGCAAAGTCTGCTGGCTGATTGAAGAGCGTGGGTGTGATATGTGGTTGACAAGTGTTGTGTGAGCATCTTTTGTGGGCGCTGGTTGAAGATTTGCGAAGAAAGCAGCTGGCTTGACCAGTTCCACTTTCCCAAGCTAGTGAAGACTTATTCCAACTTATTCCCTTCAGGCTAAAAATGCAGGAGAAACGGGATATTGACAAATTTGGCTGCGTGTGGGGTTCATTTTGAGGGGAACACAAGTGAAACTTCACAGACTCTCGCCTGGATTTGTTGCGGCTAGCAGCTAGTGCTTGCCAGGCAGGTCCAGATAGACACCGTGTCCCCAGCGCCCTTCATCACTTTCATCAGCGACTTCCGTGGCAAATGCTGGATGTTGGGACCCTGCTTACCCGCGCTGATGTTGGTCTGCAGCAGCCAAAACGGATGGAGGGTTGATAAAAGTTGGGGGGGGGGGCCTCTTGAGACTTTGGCGTGTCAGTCCTAGGAGTTGACCACTCGACATCCACACTCAGCCCGTAGCAAATGCACGCGGAGAGACTTGCGAAAGCTGGGTCCTCGGCAAACATGAAGACCGTTGCTCACAGTCGCATCACATGGAAAACTTCCTCACCTCAGGGAGTTTGCGACTTCACCCATGATGAAGGTGTATTTCATGGGTCCTTGTTGGGGGCTGGTGAAGTTTCATATTTTACGTTTCGCCCATTTATCATTTGCGTAGGGAGTGCGAGAGAAGTCGGTTAAAGCAGCTTGGGACGTGCAACCTCGGGTCGGAAGCGCTTTCATCTTCATGCATCAGACGTACGACTCGAAGTGCTACCAACGTAGCCACTGGCCAGGCTTTATCACACGCATAGGTTTCCTTTTTGGTTGCTTTGGTCTAAAAAAAAGATGGCCGGCCCTGGTGTACCTGGTGGTTTAATCATCTACCAGGGCCATCTATTTCCCCAAGGACACCTATGATCACACGCCCTCTCAAGGTGTGTACAGTGGTCCAACTTCCTGCAATGCAGCCTGCAACTTTCAGAGTTTGGTTTCAGCCTGCAACATGATCTTATGCCCTACTGGCCGCAGGTGTCTGCACCGCCGCAGCAAGATCTGCAGGCCAGGGTATCTCGGGTCCAAAGGCAAGGACTATCAGGGTCTACGGCACTTCGGAAGTCAACGTGCAACAAACTTGGTGGTTCCCAGCCGTCCCCTTAGCTTTTTAGACTTTCAGGGTTTAGTGGGTTTGTGTTATTTAACCCACTAATCCGGAGAGTTTCATTGTTTCTGTTTTTCTTGAAGGGGCGAACACGGATCAGCGCACGAGGTGGTTTGTTTTTGGAAGCTGATCGTTGAGGCAAGTCAAATGCTTGTACCCTGGACATCCACGCATCGGCTAGGCCAACTGAATGTTCAGGTAACCCTTTGCTGGTGGTTTGGATTGGTGGTTTGGGATTTGAATGGTTCGTGTAGAGGGTCAATGGTTAACCACCAAACCACCAAATTGAAAGGGAAGGGTACTCGCTACGTGCCAAGCAATTTTCTTTGCGGCCCATTTGTTGAGGCTACCGACCTTTAGACCGTCGAAGGTTGGTGAATGGATGAGCACGTTCAACGAGCGAGTGGAGCAAAGGATAAGGGGCTGGACAATACTGTGGAAGGACGAGATCCTGCACTGAAGCCCTGGAATGATTCCCCCTGAAAATACCAACAAACAATGGTTTCAACCATGGTTTCAGTTTGGCGCGAACTGGATTGGTCCATCCACACTATCGTCTTTGCGGAGCCAGGCAACAGATCCAGAGAAAGAGAGAACATGTTAGACTGCATTGGAGCTACTTTTTGGGATGTATCGAGTGGAACCTATCAAATTCCTGAGATCTGCCTTGCACTGCCAAGAAATTGGCCCTCCTTTTAAGCAATTCCTGCGTGTTGCGCACTCGACCCTTCCAGAGAGTTGTTTCCTCGCAGGTTTGGCCCAGACGTCGCAGTTGCACTCCCTTCGCATCGCGTGGTTTTTGTCGCCATGGCTCTCCGTCGCTTCAACGCGGGTGGCAAGAAGCAGAAGGCGGGCTTTGGTCGACTTCGCCCGGCTTTGCAAAATTTGTGGAGCAAATGTATGGAGCACGCGTTGCGGGGAAAGGGCTTGACTGGCCCAAGCTTGAAGAAGAGCCCCAAGATGCGAGTGTATTCTTGAGAGACTTGAAGGCTTTTGGAGCTGAAGGTCCACCAATGCAGTGAGACCCATGACTACAGATGAGCGCCCAACATGTTGCATAGATTTTCGGGATTCATCATGGCCCCCGGGGAAAAGACCTTGAAAGCGCGTTTGGATCGCTTTGAGAAACATATGCCCTCTCAAGAAAAAGAAGAAGGCATGGGAGCTGACAGCGTGCCTTGGGACTATCATCTTCATTGGCTATTCTTCAAAATAGAGGCCCCCCCCACCAAACAAATACGTCCTCTTTTCAAAAGCAGAGCCGCTCATTTGGCCACGAGTCAACACCAATGGGATCCCATTTTGGTTGGTATAGGTGAATTCACCACCCATTTTTTCGAACCTAATTTAGTGGTTGGATTGAATCGGATGTTCACGTGGGGGTAACCAATTTGCCTTTTTGACCCATGGCCGATTTTGTGGTTGGATTGGTTGATGTTCACTGGGGGGTACCCGATTTGGCTGTTGGACCCCATGGCCGATTTGTTTGTTGCCAGGAGCTCACCGAGGAGCAGAAGCAGGAGATCAAGGAGGCCTTCGACCTCTTCGACACCGACGGCTCAGGCGCGAGTTGTATGTTTCGCTTCTTCGCCGCCGGTCTTCTGTCGCGGGGAAGCGGGCAAGGCAACGGTTTTTTTGGTTGGGGAGGGCAAGGCCGTTTTTTTTTTTGGGTGGGGCGGGGGTGGGGCGGGGGTGGGGGTCTGGGCAGAACCAGCGATATCCGCTAACTATAGAAGAATATTAGTTCAAGTGTGCAGATGGTTGGGAGCATACTTACTTGTTTCTTCGAGGCGGGTTTTGTGTTCGCACCAACTCAAGCAAAAGTCGAATTATCCACGTTGATGTCAGCCCTATTGGTTCGGCAAGGCCAATCTTAGCACAGCTGGGGTGGTTGTTTCGTCAGGAGCAAAAGTTTACCCTCCCACTATCATGGAAGTGGGCAGAACAGTAACTTTCCAGAACCAGCCTGTCAGACGATGACTCGCACAGCATGTAATTACCGGCTTGGCTGCCTGGAATTGCCTCAGGAGAAAATACCAGATTGGGCTTTCAACTGTCCGTGCGCACCATGTTTGTCTAAGCGCCGCCTTCATGTACCACGTAGCCATGTTTGCGCCTGCACTATCAACAACCAACTCGCTGGACCAAAGCTGAAATCTATATACCCTCAAGAATTCTTTTCTTCATGGGTAGCCCAAATTTGTTCATGCTCGGCGAATTCCCCGGTTTTTTTAAGGCTCCACCAAACCGACCTCCCCCTCCCCCACCCCCCCCACCCCCACCAAACGCCTCCCCTCCCCCCCCGGAAGATCCCCGAAGCCTCCGCAGCGAAACTGGATCCCTCGAAGGCGAGATCGACTCCAAGGAGCTGAAGGTGGCCATGCGCGCCCTGGGCTTCGAGCCCAAGAAGGCACCGATCCGACGAGAAAACTCCACGCCGTCCACGCCGAAACCGGCTCGGGTTTCGTTTCGTTTGGGGACGACCCAAAAAACGGGGGGGAAGCAAAAGGGGGCAAGCAAAAGGGGGGAGGGGCAAAAGGGGGAGGCCTTTGGGACGAAATGATATTGCCTCTTCAACCCGGCTCAAGCCCAGGTCTCAAGAGACTGATGAGAAACACTAGCATAGCCGTCACTCATGCGCTCATAATGCTTTGCTATGGTTCATCGAAGCCTCGGGGTGTTTCGGAGTCGTGACGACCAAAAACCGGAACGGGGGGGGGGGGGAAGTGGGGAGTGTATATGGTACCAACCAAAAAATCACTCATGCTCAATATGTGTTTTGGGGGACTCATGAATCATGTATGCTTATAGTTTGGTCAATATGTGCATTGTGGCTTACTCTGTCTTTCTTTTTTAGGGGGGGAGGGCTCATGCTTAATGTATCATTGGGTTGTTCAAAGTATGAGTTTGTCAACTCATCGCTGTATGGTGAGTTTGGTCCTCGGTTTCTGTTTTGGCGGCACATTGAGAAAACCATGGGCAAGCTCCAAATATCCCGCTTACAAAAACGAGGATTTGGCTTTGTGTCAAATTCAGGGTTGACGAAGACGACGAGATCTGGGCCTTTTGCAAGGATCGCAAGCCTAAAGGTTGAGACTTGGTGGCATGTGTTCAAGAACCAGTTGCCATAACTCCCTCAACAGAAAACCTGAAAGGGTTCATCCTGTGGCAATCATTGCCTTGCTCGGAAGCAATGTGGAGTGGGTACTCTGGCATTCCAAAACGCAGTGTGAGTGAGAAGTGGTTTTCTAGGGGTTGATTCCAATTCCATTCCTTTCAACCATCATTATTTTCACAAACCAGCTGTTTCTGCTGGGGTTCTGATGGTTTTCTGAAAAGAAGGATCCCTGGAATAGATGGAGAAGTGTCCCCTAGAGGTTTAGCAGACTCAACATGCGGCAGGAAGAAATTCAGAAGATGATCTCCGATGTGGACGATGACGGCAGCGGCACCATCGGCTATGAGGAGCTGCTTGGTTGAGCTACAGGCTGTGTGCTCAAGGAGAAGAAAAGTCGAGTTTGAGCATTGTCACCCCCACCCGACCCCACCCCACCCCACCACCTACCCCCACCACACCCCCACCCCCACCCCACAACCCACACCCCAGGCCCCCTCAAAGGCACAATGGCTGTGGCCCTCTAATTCGCAACGGCCAGATGGGCTGGCCCGCCTTCGCCAGGGGTCTTTCGCCTGAAAGCGCGGTTCTGAGGTTCCTGAAGATGATGACCCACAAGATCCTCAACCGCGACCCGCCCCTTGGCATCGAGGGTTCAGCTTAAGGCGCATGCAGCAAGCATGCGCAAGCCCAAGCTTACCCAAAACGACTCCCCCTCACAATTGCCGGGATTTGAACGGAACACAGTACTTCCTGTTGCGTGCAAATTAATTACCCGGAATGGAGCACGTTCCATGTGGCTCGGGGTGTAGCCTCTCGGATTTCCTTAAGCACCCAGACGGTAGGTCTGTCGGTGCTGTTCGTTTGGCGTCCGGCATTGCCTTTCTCAACTGGCTCGTGGAACAGGAAAGGGGTCAACCTGCATTGGCCCCCAAGTCGACGCTGATCTGATTGCTTGGGGTAACCCGACCCCGTGATTTCTTCCAGAAAACAAATGTTTGTATCAGGAAGGACGAGATCCTCAAGGCCTTCCGACTCTTCGATGACGACGAGACAGGCAAGATCTCCTTCAAGAACCTGAAGAGGGTGGCCAAGGACAGACCCTTGAATCGGGAAGGGGAGCGACTTGTTTTTTTTAGCCTTTGTCCGGACATTGGCGGACCCTTCTGGATGGTTTGAAAGGCAAAGACAACCACGAGCTTGCCTATTTTAGAAAACATGTATACATGAGAGAGGGAGAGGGACCACATGCACCTGTGTCGAGAAAGGGAATGCTCTTTGTTCTGCAGGCTGCCCAGGCCACGCGCCACTTGCCCATTGAGAACTCGGCCTTCGGCCTTTAGTCTGATCGAACCGTGCATAAGCTGCTTGATGACATGTTCAACTATGACGCAGGATAGTTTACTGTGAGATACTGCACGTGGTAGTATTCAAAGATTGACGTCACATACCAATTGCAAGCACATTCAACTGACAAGCCCGAACGGCAACAAATGCATGAAACATAATTTATGCCAAAAGGTTCGGGATACATTCCAGAGGCCTGCGTGTCCATATTAATATGATACTATAGTATACAATAAGCAAACTGTGTGTGCATGCCCGGCTCAGGGGAGTTATTCAAGTTCAGCACTTGTGTGTTGCCATTTGAAGTTGTAGTCGGCAACAAGAGCCAAGCAGCCACTGGATGAGTGGGGTGTTGTCCTATTCAAAAACGTACCTGCATAGATGATTTGGAAATATCCCTTTGGTTACTGGGGGTAAAACCCCGCCAGTATGTCTCTGCGACTCCCTGGATTCATGCTGTCCGAAACGTGTGGAAACGTGTGGAAATCTCCAAACGCATCTGGGGTGTGCGAAATACTCCACAGCTGATTTGGGCCTTTCGCATTTGATGACTCAGCAGCTTCGGGCTGGGCTTAAGCCTTACGAGCCTTGCGCCAGGAGTTGGGCGAGCGCATGACTGATGAGGACCGCACTGAGGGCGTGTGACACCTTTTCGCGCGCCGAAGTTGCCTCTTATGCAGGGAGTGGCCATTCTTTTCAGAACCCACGAAACCAAAGGCGTCCGGTGATTGCTTTTTTATTACTTTGGTAGCCTCAGAAGTAAACAAGTCACTGTGACCTGTGTTTTCCCCCTATTTTCCACTGCGACCGCTTGCAGGTTGGAAATCTGAGCTTCATGCAGCCCTGGCGAAGCCTTTTTGAGCTTGTTGCATGTCACTGTCAAGCTACTTGGCAGTGTTTCCCTTGGCAAGTGTTTCAGTACCATAGCATGTAGAAACATACCATGCCATACCATAGCATGTAGAAGCATACCATGCCATACCATAGCATGTAGAAACATACCATGCCATACCATAGCATGTAGAAACATACCATGCCATACCATAGCATGTAGAAACATACCATGTCATACCATAGCATGTAGAAACATACCATGTCATACCATAGCATGTACAAACATACCATGCCATAAGACTTTCCCCTGCTTGCCCCCGAATCTGAACGCCGAGCTTGCGGGCGCATTCTGGGGCCAATCTCAAGGAAAATCAGAGGCATCATTCTTCATTTGAGTCGCGTTGTTGTTGCTCTTCCATTACGTGTGTAAAAGGGATAAACCTCATTTCAGCGTTTCTGCTCCGAATTTCCTGCGGCACATAAGTGTCCTTTTTGGTTGTTTTGGTCGCAGAATTGCTGGTTTACCTGGTGGTTTAATTATCTACCAGGGACACCCATCTATTTTTCCGCTACAACGACACCTATGCTGAGGCGTGTCTCTTTTTCCCGCCGAATCTGGTTTGGAGCGCAGGAGCTTCAGGAGATGATCGATGAGGCAGACCGCGATGGCGATGGCGAGGCGGAGTGGACGAGCCGAGAGGTTTTGGGGTCCAATTTGAACAGGGGTACCCATTTTAGGGGTGCTTCTGGTGCTTCAACTTCCTTTTGTTGGTGTCCTGCCAAACCGCCAACCTGGAAAGGGTTGCCACCAAAACAACACAACCCCACATCAGGCAAGCAACAGAACGGAGCAGTTCTTTGCTCTTGGGCCTGGAAACGGGATAAAATGACGCATTCCTCACGCAAGTTATTGGTTGAACGCCTCTTACGCGGGGCCATGTGCTGGCATGGAGCCTTGTGCAGCTTTCATCTTTGAAAGTGTTGAGCACTTGCGGAGTTTTGCGACGAGACATGGCGTTGGCTCGAACAAGTGCCGGCACAGTATATTGAGTGGACATATCGGCCGGCTTGTGGGATTTTGCGAGGTCTTCTTGTTCCCACGAAGCTCGCATGTTAAACGTGGCGTTGGCAAGCGTTAGATGCTCAGATGCTAAAACACACCCGCGGTTGCGCTTCGTTGCCAGGAAGCCAGTACCGCCCCCACCCCACAGGATGATTGGTTCGCCAGGTGAACGAGGAGGAGTTCCTGCGCATCATGAAGAAGACCAACCTCTTCTGAGAATGAGGGCGAATCTTCAAAGTGCAGCTGATTTGGTCTTTGAGTCAACCCTCAGCAACCAGCTCATCCCAGAAGATGTGGTGACCTCACCTACGCATTCTTTGAGCCACTGGGGACTCTTGACCAGGTCAAAAGAAGAGCCTGTTCTTATCATGTCATTCAGGGGGTTCACCACCCAAAATGGTGCTGTTCCTTTCAGTGATTCTATTGCCAGCAACAAAAACAGGTAGCCTCCAAAAGTGTGGTTCTTTCAGTGGTTCTTTTGCCACAAAAACAGGTAGCCAAAAAACAGACACACCCCACATATGTGTCATCTTGCCAATGGCTTGCTACCTGGCAGTCAGGCAGTCAGGCCTGTCAGCTGCACCCTGGGCCAGGCCCAGCGGCCTGACTCGGGAAATTTCACAGTGGCCTGGCTCGGCACAGAATCGGCGGCGGCTCCCCTGGCCCATCCGCTTCCTGAGGGATTTTAGTTGGTTTTGGTGACTGGATTTCCACTTCACGCACTGATCCCCTTAGGTGTTTAGCTGTTTTTAGTTGGTTTTGGTGGTTGGATGTCCACGCAACCCGGTGATCCGCTTAGGTGTTTAGCTGTTATTTGTTGGTTTTATGTGGTTGGATTTCCATTTAACCTGGTAAAGGTTAAACTTTTGCCTGGGGATTTGCGGACAGCCCAGGAATTGTTCGACTCTGGTTTTGGGGTGAGACTCCCTGGTTCAAAGTTCGGGAGTCGGGAGAGAGAAACTTCCCTCGATTGGTCAGAGAAAAGTCAACCGCGCCCGGATCATGCAGGCTTACTTGCATTGCCGCAATTGCGATAATCGAACAACAACATCCACAGATCGAAGCATGTGGGTTTGAGTCCGCAGACCAGAAGTTGTCAGCAAAGCCAATTTAAGGTTGTAGTACCTATTCTTGGGAGCTCTTTTTGGGTGTTTGGGTCCCAGGTTGCCATCGTTCTAAACAAAGGCTGAAGTAAGGGCGCCCCAGGATATCCCGGGATGATTGGACCGACGAAACGGGGACTCCCAACTCTAAATAGGGACACAAATGCTGTGTGTTCTTTCCACCCAAGTCGACAGGTCCGAGCAGGTGCGACCAAGCGCTGTGTTGCTGTTGGGGCGTGTGCTGAGCGCCAAGTAGCAACTCAGTGCTTTGGATCGGGAGTTGGGCAAATGATGCCGAATGCATAGTACCATACAGATCTGATCTGAAACTGCAGTGGGATGGAAAAGAAGGCGCAAACATTGGGGGGTTGGTGGGCATCCACAGGGGAAGCGAGACTGACCCAGCGATGGTTCCATGATGTTGCGTGGATCCAATACCAAGGAGGGGCATCAATCCTAGAGCAGCCGCAGGCGACGAGCAGTCTAATTGTGTCTTTTGAGCATTGCATGACACGCCAAGTGCGAACTTCCAACTGGGTCTCTTCTGATCTACTTTGTGCTCCTAGAAGCGCCAATTTGGAGACCGGGCAATGCACATGATTCTCCACACAGAAGGTCCAGGAGCTGACAGATGGCACCCTGACAAAATCAGGTCTTCTGCCGAGTGCTTGGCAGCCGGATCCTGAAGCAGCTTTTAAATGGAATCTGTTACTACTGTTTTTGTTTCCAGGATCCTCAAGCAAACGGATGTTCTCCTAGCAGCTTCGCCCCAATGGGATGTCCTTCCCGCGTCCCTTGGTCGAAGGCTCCCGGAGGAGAGCTCCTCGGAGTTTCGCCGGGCACTCGGAGTTTCGCCGTGCGCCGGAGTAGGCCTCAGTTGGGGTTAGTCATTAACTAGTTTTTCCTAGGTGCCAATTTTTACCGTTTCTTTTTTGGAGGAGGGCAAGCCCCTACTAAAATAGACTAGAAGAAGAAAGGGTACCCTTGTTCTAACCTCTCTACTGGAGGACATAGTTTAGTAAGCCCCAAGCTTTGCTGCAGATGTCTGCATCTTGGTTTCCAGGATCACCTGGTCAACGACCAGAGGTGCTCTCCAGTTGTCAACATTTGAAAAAGTCGATACTACACTTTGTGGCTATTTGGTTGGATCTTTGGACTTTAACTCTTTTGTTGAAACAGAATATGTTTCTATTGGACCCACAAAAAACAGAAATTGTGTTTGCGGATCAACAGCAACCAAGCAAACGGTTTGTTCCGTCTTGTTCAGCTACTTGATAACCAGCATACAAGTTGAGATTCATCTTGTTCAAAGATGGGCCTGGCACAAGAAGCGAGTTTGGGAAGCAAAGAAAAAATGTCACGAAGAAGATGAGCCATGACCTCAGTCAGGTTACACAGCATGTATCGTTCGGTATCATCACGTGTGTAGTTTTTTTTTTTAATCAGGCAGCTGCTTTGCCGGGACGTGCTTTGCAACTTCACATGCACCCAAAGGAGGAGATTCGCATAAGATGTCCACCTGATTCGTAGCATGTTTTTTTTTTTTTCTTAGCTCAGGGCGTAAAAGGTCTGTGGCGAACGACACAATGGGCCAAAGCTTTGCCGCTCCGACTGCGGCCTGGGTGAGGCACGCAAAGAGCTTAGGCCTTACAGGCGTGGACTCGTATGCTAACTCAGTGAAACTCGCACCGTTTAGGCCATCCATACTTGAGCAAACTTTTTAATGTTGACAGGACAACAAAAAGCAAAGGGCTCGTTGGCAGTCAAACCCAAGGGCGCATCACATTGGTGTGAGCCACCCAAGTCGCTCTGAGCAACGCGGAGTCTGTGAATTTGTTGGTTCAACTGTTGGAGAAGCTTAAAGATGATATATAATTAAAGAGTCTATCCATGTCTATCCTGAAAGAATCTGCTGGGACCAAGGACTCCAATGCCAACACACCTTTCTCTTCCAAGAAGCTCACACGTATTTTGTTTGTAGACAGTTTTGATGCACACGATGATAAAGACCTCTGATAAGTTGTGTTTCCAGACCAACCATTCGCCATTGTATCCTACCTGGCAAAGGAGGAGGTGAAACAAGAACGGCATGCGCACAGGTGTTAATCGACGCAGAACATGGACCCGCGGCTTTTGTATGCTGCAAAGCACGGTGATGATGACTTCAGACATCATTGAGCTCACTTTCTTCAATTGCGCTAATGCGTATGTTGCTCCATTGCTGGTAGCCAACAACTCACTCCCTGAGTCGTTGGACTTTACACTTTTCGAGAAGACCATTTCAGTGATGAACAAGCAGTTTGGACTTTCTCTGGCCCATCCACGGGAAGTGAGGTAAACGGTTGTCAAGCATTGAGCGCTGTCCAGTGAACCCGAGCAAAGTCAAACGCTGCGTGCAACTCAGGCCGCAGAAAAATCGAGTTCGAGAAGGCGCCTTGGGCGGGGGACTTGCCGGGGATCAACCTAGGAACTCGAGGTCGGATAGACTTGGTGCAGCTTTTGGCGATTATGAAACCAATGTCCCGAAAAAGGGCCCCTATGTTCCAAAGCAATCATGTAAGCTGAACAAGGCCTTTTGGAGGACTATGCATTTGGTACAAAAATCAAAGGACGAGTTCAGCATGCGCACAAACATGAAGGTTGCGGTCTTGAACGCATTTTCAAAGCTGGACGCACATCAGCACAGGGAAGTGCAAACTACAGTGTAAGAGCTAGATGTAGCCCGTGAACCTTTTTGGATGACTAAAGATAGATCAAACGAGGGACATCGAAGCGTCGAAAGCTTGGCGTTGGACCTGTAAAGTATCGTGGTGCGTCAAGGTGGGCCCCGGGCAAGTGGGTTGCTTGCAGGGAGTTGCCCTTTTGAAGCTCCAGCTCAGTTGGAGCCCCACCTTTTGGTTTATAGGTTCACAAAACGGGTTTGGGGTCAGCAAAAACAGCGTCTCCAGGAAAGCCCTCCTGTGCTCTAGCAGACTAATCGATGTGAAGCGTGCATGGTGTGGGGGCGATTCCAATGTGTTTTGTTGATGCAGATCCAAGTTGCGAGGTGACAGTAGGCTGTTTAAACCCTGGCCAAGTGCTTGGGTATGATGAACCACTCGCTCTGGGAGCTGTGTTTATCACAGGCGTTGCGTGTCTCTGCGTTGCGGATTTGTCGAGATAGCCCAAGCTGCGAGCCAACCATCATCTACTCAGGCAGCCAAGCCAACGATCATCTGGATCCTGAAATCGGGCCTCTTCTAATCTCTTCTTTTGTGGTTCCTTTGTATTTTTCCCGACGGCTGGAGAACACCGAGAGCCACTGCTCAGCGGAAAAATAAAAATCTGTTTTGCGTCAGGACTCCGCAGCAGACCGCACGCCTTTCGGATCTCGTTCCGCGGCTGCAAGAGACCACTGGAACCAGTCGAGCGGAAGCTTATGGTCAACTTGGTCTAGGCCCTCCAGTGCCCTTTCTCACCTGGGCAGGGTTCCCCTGCTAAAATAGAGTACAGAAAAAAGGGTACCCTTATTCTAACCTCTCTACTGGAGGACCTAGTGGTTGTCCTCACGGAATGACCCTATTCCAACCATGAAAAAGGGGGGAACATGCTAAATGCATCAACTCACTCACCTCAGAGTTGCCACTCGACCCAAGCCATTCACCCAAGACGCCAGCAAAAGCAAGGCCCTCCCAATTGGTCAATCCCTTGAACCTGCTCCCATGGTGCCCATGGTCATGTATGTGCCATCTGAACCAACCATCTAGGGATGCCTTAAACGCGGGGCCAGCATCAAACTCTTGGGATGTGCATTTGGAATCAGCATGACTCGGCAAGACGATTAAAACAGCTCTTTTGGCATGGTTTTGGCATGTTTATCCTGCAATAATCCTTACAATGTTCTGGAATATTCTTCTGATAGATTGCACGTGTGCTGGTGGCTTATCCTAAGGTGCTGTCATTATTTAGTTGCAGCTAAGTACTCTGAACATCCCTGAACCGAATCTTTCCGGGGTCTCTGTGGGTCCACGTGGATGACAGAAAGTCTGCAGCCAGCTGACAAACGAAATCCAATGTTTGTACAAAAGCGCAAGCGGTGATACAGCGAAGGGCAAAGTGTATTGACAACTACTTTTTGCTGCGCAAGAGTTGTTTTGAGTCGCGCAAGGTAGGTTTTGTGCATGCCGCGCCAGAATTGGGCAACAAAGGCGTTGCAAACGCAAGTCATTGTTTTCTCAAGGAGAGATCCAGCAGGGAAATGGCTCTGAGCTGAACTGGTTAATCGCAGCTCTTGTCTCTGCAGGCTACGCATGTTCGTGGGGCGTAGCCTGGCACTTTCCCCGCTTGGAGACACTCTTACTTCTCTGCACCTGGCGCGCATGTTTCATGGAGGCAAACTCAAGGGAGTTCCAAGCGGTGCAATTCGCCATGCCTCTAGGGGTACCTTCCATTTCCATTCTTTTTCGGGATCCTTCTTTCTAGAAAACCTCCAGAATCCCAGGGAAAACGGATCCGGTTTTTGAAGAGCTTGATGGTTGAAAAGAATGGTATCGAAATCAACCTCTAGAATGCCGGGCGAATTGCTTAGGCACGAGGATGAGCCATTCGTAGCGGTGGACCGAGAGCGCAGGGTGCCTGGGTGCGATCCATGGAGGCTGTTCCATGGAGGTACCAAGCTGGTCGAGCTATGAGCCTTGGGGAGAGCAAGTTCCCATTATTTTTGAAGATCACCAGTGGAGCTGATGCCGACTAGGTCCCCCAGTAGTGTGCCCGACCTCTCACCCATTTTTTGGGGGGAGGGTTCCCCTACTAAAATAGACTACGAAAAAAAGTGGGTACCCTTATTCTAACCTCTCTACTGGAGGACCTAGCTGCGTGACGTTCCTTTGGGTGATGTTCAGAGAGGGAGGGGCAAGACAACATATCATCCATAAGGCCCCTACGGTCCTCCATGCTGACCAAGACAAAAGACTCACAATGGAAGCACCGCATTTGGAATCCAATCACTTCACAGAACGCGACTTTGGAACTTCTCCATAGTGGAAGAGAATGACCAGTCCAAGCACAGTTTCCCATCATTTGCTGTCCAATAGTAGTCTTTGTGGAGGCAAATGCAGTCTGAAGCTATTTGTTCGCCTTCGTCAAACCGTCCATCGTCTGGCTGTGGGCAATGCCTGCGATTAAAGGGGCGTGTGGACCAAAAGCCAACTGTGCAAGCCAACTAAAACTAGGTCCCCCAGCTAAGTGCCCGACATCTCACCCCTTTGGTTGTGAAAGTTTCCCGACCAAAATAGACGTGAAAAAAGAAGCGGCCTTATTCTAACTCCTCTCTACTGGAGGACCTAGTCAAGATATTTGGTCAATGCCCTCCCATCCAATAACATGGAACCTGACTGATGGGCCCTGGAAAACGACTTTCCTTGCAATTTTGAAGGGTTTTCTGGGTGAAGGACTCTCAGAGCTGAGGCCAGCAAAGGTACGAGCGTGACGTTACGCAGGCGCGGGTGAACCCGAGGGACTTTTTTTGTTTCTTTTTTGTTTGCACCGCGGAGCGACCGGAATCTAGTGTAAAGGGAACGGACTATTCTAGGGGTTTCCAATTCCATTCCTTTTTCAGCCATGGTTCTTTTCAACAGCCGGATCCGCTTCCCCCGGAATTTTTTGACGGTCTCCTGAAAAGACTCGGATTTTTGGAAAGAACGGAAATGGAAGGTGCCCCTAGAACTCTGCAAAAAGACACACTCATCAAGTTACCCCGGTAAAAGAACATGTTACAAGCCCCAGGCTGCCATCATCTTGAAGAGCTAGCAGCCTTTTTTGTTCAAACCCATCGGGTTCCTTGTTGGCCCTCAACCTGTTTGCAATGGAAAGCCATTGGGAAAGGCAAGAAGGTCATACGAAGCTTCGATTGTGTCACATATTGGCAAAGGATGATGCAGTGCTCGAAAATATGTAGAAGAACCACTGGGAAGCAATAAGTTTCCCGGAGCTTTGCTACTGCGCTGCTAGTGTTCTGCCTGTTTTTGTTCGACTGTATTTTGTCTTTTCAACGTATTACAAAGCCAAGCTGGAGGGAGCATGGGCACACACATCCCAATGCAACTCAACTCAGATCAATCTAGAAGCCTCAAATATGGTCAAAAGCGGTGTTTTGTTATGTTCGGCTTTTTTAGGAACTATGGTCATGCGCCCGTACAAATGTGTTGTGTTTCTACCCTTATTATATACGCTGCGCGTTGCCCGCCGCGGTGGCGCGCAGACTCTAATGTTTGGAGGGGGGGGGGCCCAATAAGCACATCTTGAGAGCTTGGTGGAAAACATGTGTGGTCTCAGGAGTTTAGTACTGGCTTAGTATTGGCTATTTTAAGTTAGTATTTGCGATGTTTGGCGCGGCTGAGGAGTTTTATGATTAGGGGTAGGTTGATTAACAGGAAGAAGGGATCAATGTCCTCCAGAACCATATTCTCCTCACCGCGCAATTTGGTTCCACAGTCGAAAGTTTATAATTTTCACCGAAAATGCTTGGAGAAATCCCAATATGGGTGTGTCTCGATTTTTTGGAGGGCCAGACAATGATGGATTCCGTTTGGCTTTCGCTTCATGCACCCAAGGCACACCACCGGTATCCGCCCAATTTGGGGTTTGCTATGCCTCAAAAACCGGGGTACCCGCAAACTTGTTTTTGTTTGGTTTGCCGCACCAACCTAAAACAGGGTGACGCAAACAAAGGGCACCGGCCTAAAGGGTACCAACTCCAAGAAACACACCCACCTTATCCAAAGGCTAAAAGCATGAAACCCATCTCCCCCAGGCATCCAGAAAAACGTATGCGACGAGTTTGAGGTGTCCACGGGACGGCTTGGTGGTACATGGGTGGCTAGGTCCCCTAGTAGTGCCCTTTTACCCTTTTTTGGGGGAGGGTTCCCCTACTAAAACAGACTACAAAAAAAAGGGTACCCATATTCTGAACTCCCTATTGGGGGACCTAGGTGGATTCCCCAGCCCAAAAATGTTAAGTGAATTCCATGCCTGAACCACTGTGTATAACCCTGTGACCCTGTGTGTACATGTGTAGGTGGCATGTAAGTTTTTGATTTGAAGTTGTGCTGGCATGGCATGAGACCATGGATCCTGCAGGTGCTGTTGAGTGTTCAGAAAAATGAGAAAAAAGCGACTCTGACGCCAGTCGTCTCCGCTGCTGGCCGTGGACTCTCCGACAGAAGCGCCGAACTCGCCCCTTCTGGCTGTGGATCCCCAGGCAAAAGACGAGTCCGTCAAGTCGCGAGGTCCCTAAAGCGGCACCCTCGGTGCCGCTAGGTTTTTGTCCAGGAAAGGGAATGCTCCTTTGGGCGATGCCATTTGGTAGCCATTGGGGGGCAGTTATGAAGCAATTGTATGCGGAATGTGTCGGTCGGCGTCCTTTGCAGGCGGCTGTGATTTATGGCCTGATGCAGAGTGTTTGCATACATAAATGGAGAACATGCCTCCAGTAGCTCTTTGAATCCATGTTTTGTGTCAATCTTGTCGGGGGTCAGTCGACCTCACCAAGGATGTTGGTTTGCGACGTCAGTTATAATAGTGAAGGTGTCTTTCCTTGGGATCCCGATTTTGGGTCGGTGAACAGTAACAATGTAATCATGATCCACCCAAATGGCTGTGGCATGTTGTGGCAATGACTTTCTGTGCGAAAGAAAACCCCTCTCAAAGTAAGAAGCAAAGATAGCCATCAGCCATTGTGATTCGTGCTGGAACGCGTGGCTGTTCTTTGGTTGCAGCTTTATGCCGCCAGCTTGTTGGCAAAATGGCGATGTTCCCAGTATTGGCAAGAAGCCGCCCGCGGTAACCGGGGTAGCTTGCGTCTTATGGACCCTATAGAAATGCGGGGAATGTGCTCGGGTCAAAAGGCCTGGTTGTTTGGGTTTGATAGGCATGGTTGTCAACCTAGGCGTGTCTTGCATTCCATTGGGCTGTTCGCTGTCATTTGCTGGCTTGCTGCTCTGCCTGCCCGGCTTCGTCTTTAGCCACCTGCGACAGGCATCGCAGACGTCAGCGCCGAGGCCGTCGCAGGCGCAGGGGAGAGGTCCCCAATTGTCGAGCTGGGGACCTGTGGCCAAAACGTTGTCCTTACATCCCTTTGCACAACGAATCAACCCACAAAACACAGGTACACTGCCAATCAAGGCATCCATGCTTGCCTAGGGTTGTCCTGAACATGAAGGGGTTGAGAAAGTGCTGAACAAGACCAGCGAGACACGTTCAACAGAATTCAGCATTTATGTTCAAAATGAGATTCCTGCGAGTTTGGAATCACCATCAAAAACCCCAACCTTTTGAGAAAGGTTCCTGTCTGGGAGCCGTCCCGGTCTGCCTTTGATCATGAATGTTTGAAACCTCGCTGTCCAAGGTTTCGAAATTCATCCTTGCGCCAAGACGCCAGTGGTAAACCGAAAGTCTTTGGAGTGAAGGCTGTGGCTTGAGTTTTGCACGACCGATTCAACGCAGAATCTTAGATCTTGAGGCGCAACTTGTTTTGAGCTTGACAGCATGCCGGGGTGTAGGACCCCGTTTTACAGGATCTGGCTGATCGAAAGCTTCTCCGCAGCTTTGCAAAGCTATCAAAGCAGGTTGCCTGGGCGCCACCAACTTGATAATTCCAATTGACCATGTTTAGTTTGTTTAAACAAAGAAAGAACAACAATGCATGTGACAAGGTGTTTATTTAGAAAAATGTGGTGTTTATGATACACATATTGCATACACATATAATATAAAACAAACAAACATATGATGATGGGGGTTGCTCGGACAAAACATTTAGGTTACCGGCACTGGTCGGCCACCTCGCTTACCGGCTTTCCTTCACGCGTCGCAGGTCAGCTATCGCCGGCTCCGGCGCAGCCTGGTGCGTCGGGCCCGGCTGAGCCGCGCCAAGCGCGCTCGGTCGCTGCCGCGAGAGAAGGCCGGACGGGGCAATGGTGACCCCGTTTTTTTTGTTCAACCCCAGTTGTTTTTGATAGGTGGGTTGCGCTCAGGAAGGGGAGATGGTGTAGTTCTGAGTTTTTCGTGCTTGCATATTCCTCCTAGGTCTCCCGGTAGTGCCCGTTTACCCTTTTTTGGGGCAGGGTTCCCCTACTAAAATAGACTACAGAAAAAAGTTGGTACGCTTGTTCTAGCCTCTCTACTGGAGGACCTAGCCAGAGTATTCAAGCCCAGTTTATTTGTAGGGTGGTTTCCTGATATGGGGTCAACGGGGAGTGGTGAGTTTCTGTGGCTCGCAGATACTCACTTCGTGAGTTCCCGTTCGGACTTTGGTCACTTTTTATAAAAACCATTTTGAGTGGTAAACAGGATGTTGGGACTTGTTGTTGGCCAATCTGCTCAGCAAGTGAGGGTTGGATTGTGTAGTTCTGAGTTTTGAGTGCTTGCATATTCCTTCATTCATGACATGAATAGACATGCATACAACGGTTGCCTATGTGCCAATTTCTGGATACACGTCGATTGACGTGGGAATGTGTGGGTGTGTGTGGGTGTGTGTGTGTGTGTGAGTGTCTTTGGCTTCTTGAGATTGTTGGTCGCATGCTGCTTGTAATTGTTTGTTGGTACAGACCAAGAACAGAGGGTTCCACATTTAAACATGGCAGTGCCGTGTTGGGTCCTTTGGATAGTTTGGTTGGCAAAGCACCTTGCCAGCTCACATTGTTACATTCATGGGCCAACCGCTGCAATACTGGGCCTCAACAAACTGCCGCAGAGAACTGTCCAAACGAGAACTTGAAGTTCTCGTTTAGGTTTTTCTTCTTCATCTGCCCACCTCTCCAATTTGCCACCCACAGCTTGTCTTCAAAGAAGTCTCACTCGTGGTATTTTTGGACACCATGCCAACTTCAGAACCTCACAGGAAGCCGAGTTCGAGCCCACCGAAGCTGTGCTGGTAGCCGAGGCCATCAGCTGGGGTTCGACGACTGGAGCCTCCAGCTTTAAACATGGTGGTTGGTTGGGAAACATGTTTTACATTTGTTTGCTTATGTTGGTTGTTGTTGGTAAACATGTGGTTGTTGTTTGCTTATTGTGGTTGTTGTTGGGAAACATGTGGTTGTTGTTTGCTTATTCTGGTGGTTGTTGTTGGGAAACATGTTGTTGCTGTTTGCTTATTTTGGTTGTTGTTGGGAAACATGTGGTTGTTGTTTGCTTATTGTGGTTGTTGCTGGGAAACATGTTGCTGTTTGCTTATTTTGGTTGTTGCTGGGAAACATGTGGTTGTTGTTTGCTTATTGTGGTTGTTGTTGGGAAATATGGTTGTTGTTTGCTTACTGTGGTTGTTGTTGGGAAACATGTGGTTGTTGTTTGCTTATTGTGGTTGTTGTTGGTAAACATGTGGTTGTTGTTTGCTTATTCTGGTGGTTGTTGTTGGAAAACATGTGGTTGTTGTTTGCTTATTCTGGTGGTTGTTGTTGGGAAACATGTTGTTGCTGTTTGCTTATTTTGGTTGTTGTTGGGAAACATGTGGTTGTTGTTTGCTTATTCTGGTGGTTGTTGTTGGGAAACATGTTGTTGCTGTTTGCTTATTTTGGTTGTTGCTGGGAAACATGTGGTTGTTGTTTGCTTATTGTGGTTGTTGTTGGGAAATATGGTTGTTGTTTGCTTACTGTAGTTGTTGTTGGGAAACATGTGGTTGTTGTTTGCTTATTGTGGTTGGTGTTGGTAAACATGTGGTTGTTGTTTGCTTATTCTGGTGGTTGTTGTTGGGAAGCATGTGGTTGTTGTTTGCTTATTCTGGTGGTTGTTGTTGGGAAACATGTTGTTGCTGTTTGCTTATTTTGGTTGTTGTTGGTAACCATGTGGTTGTTGTTTGCTTGTTGTGCTTGTTGTTGGGAAACATGTTGTTGCTGTTTGCTTATTTTGTTTGTTGCTGGGAAACATGTGGTTGTTGTTTACTTATTGTGGTTGTTGTTGTTGGGAAATATGGTTGTTGTTTGCTTACTGTGGTTGTTGTTGGGAAACATGTGGTTGTTGTTTGCTTATTTTTGTTGTTGTTGGGAAACATGTGGTTGTTGTTTGCTTGTTGTGGTTGTTGTTGGTAAACATGTGGTTCTTGTTTGCTTATTCTGGTGGTTGTTGTTGGGAAACATGTGGTTGTTGTTTGCTTATTGTGGTTGTTGTTGGGAAACATTTGGTTGTTGTTTGCTTATTGTGGTTGTTGTTGGGAAATATGGTTGTTGTTTGCTTATTGTGGTTGTTGTTGGTAAACATGTGGTTGTTGTTTGCTTATTCTGGTGGTTGTTGTTGGCAAACATGTTGTTGCTGTTTGCTTATTTTGGTTGTTGTTGGGAAACATGTGGTTGTTGTTTGCTTATTGTGGTTGTTGTTGGGAAATATGGTTGTTGTTTGCTTATTGTGGTTGTTGTTGGGAATCATGTGGTTGTTGTTTGCTTATTCTGGTGGTTGTTGTTGGGAAACATGTTGTTGCTGTTTGCTTATTTTGGTTGTTGTTGGGAAACATGTGGTTGTTGTTTGCTTATTGTGGTTGTTGTTGGGAAATATGGTTGTTGTTTGCTTATTGTGGTTGTTGTTGGTAAACATGTGGTTGTTGTTTGCTTATTGTGGTTGTTGTTGGCAAACATGTTGTTGCTGTTTGCTTATTTTGGTTGTTGTTGGGAAACATGTGGTTGTTGTTTGCTTATTGTGGTTGTTGTTGGGAAATATGGTTGTTGTTTGCTTACTGTGGTTGTTGTTGGTAAACATGTGGTTGTTGTTTGCTTATTCTGGTGGTTGTTGTTGGCAAACATGTTGTTGCTGTTTGCCTTTTTTGGTTGTTGTTGGGAAACATGTTGTTGTTGTTTGCTTATTGTGGTTGTTGTTGGGAAATATGGTTGTTGTTTGCTTACTGTGGTTGTTGTTGGGAAACATGTGGTTGTTGTTTGCTTATTCTGGTGGTTGTTGTTGGCAAACATGTTGTTGCTGTTTGCTTATTTTGGTTGTTGTTGGGACACATGTAGTTGTTGTTTGCTTATTGTGGTTGTTGTTGGGAAATATGGTTGTTGTTTGCTTACTGTGGTTGTTGTTGGGAAACATGTGGTTGTTGTTTGCTTGTTGTGGTTGTTGTTGGGAAACATGTGGTTGTTGTTTGCTTCTTGTGGTTGTTGTTGGGAAAATATGGTTGTTGTTTGCTTACTGTGGTTGTTGTTGGGAAACATGTGGTTGTTGTTTGCTTGTTGTGGTTGTTGTTGGGAAACATGTGGTTGTTGTTTGCTTATTGTGGTTGTTGTTGTTGGGAAATATGGTTGTTGTTTGCTTCTTGTGGTTGTTGTTGGGGAAATATGGTTGTTGTTTGCTTACTGTGGTTGTTGTTGGGAAACATGTGGTTGTTGTTTGCTTGTTGTGGTTGTTGTTGGGAAACATGTGGTTGTTGTTTGCTTATTGTGGTTGTTGTTGTTGGGAAATATGGTTGTTGTTTGCTTATTGTGGTTGTTGTTGGGAAATTTGGTTGTTGTTTGCTTACTGTGGTTGTTGTTGGGAAACATGTGGTTGTTGTTTGCTTATTGTGGTTGTTGTTGGGAAACATGTGGTTGTTGTTTGCTTATTGTGGTTGCTGTTGGTAAACATGTGGTTGTTGTTTGCTTATTCTGGTGGTTGTTGTTGGGAAACATGTTGTTGCTGTTTGCTTATGTTGGTTGTTGTTGGGAAACATGTGGTTGTTGTTTGCTTATTGTGGTTGTTGTTGGGAAATTTGGTTGTTGTTTGCTTACTGTGGTTGTTGTTGGGAAACATGTGGTTGTTGTTTGCTTATTGTGGTTGTTGTTGGGAAACATGTGGTTGTTGTTTGCTTATTGTGGTTGCTGTTGGTAAACATGTGGTTGTTGTTTGCTTATTCTGGTGGTTGTTGTTGGGAAACATGTTGTTGCTGTTTGCTTATGTTGGTTGTTGTTGGGAAACATGTGGTTGTTGTTTGCTTATTGTGGTTGTTGTTGGGAAATTTGGTTGTTGTTTGCTTACTGTGGTTGTTGTTGGGAAACATGTGGTTGTTGTTTGCTTGTTGTGGTTGTTGTTGGGAAACATGTGGTTGTTGTTTGCTTATTGTGGTTGTTGTTGTTGGGAAATATGGTTGTTGTTTGCTTACTGTGGTTGTTGTTGGGAAACATGTGGTTGTTGTTTGCTTATTGTGGTTGTTGTTGAAAAAAAAACATGTGGTTGTTGTTTGCTTGTGTGGTTGTTGTTGGGAAACATGTGGTTGTTGTTTGCTTATTGTGGTTGTTGTTGGGAAACACGTGGTTGTTGTTTGCTTACTCTGGTTGTTGTTGGGAAACATGTGGTTGTTGTTTGCTTGTTGTGGTTGTTGTTGGGAAACACGTGGTTGTTGTTTGCTTATTGTGGTTGTTGTTGGGAAACATGTGGTTGTTGTTTGCTTGTTGTGGTTGTTGTTGGGACACATGTGGTTGTTGTTTGCTTATTGTGGTTGTTGTTAAAAAACATGTGGTTGTTGTTTGCTTGTTGTGGTTGTTGTTGGGAAACATGTGGTTGTTCTTTGCTTATTGTGGTTATTGTTGGGAAACATGTGGTTGTTGTTTGCTTGTTGCGGTTGTTGTTGGGAAACATGTGGTTGTTGTTTGTTTATTGTGGTTGTTGTTGGTAAACATGTTGTTGCTGTTTGCTTAGTGTGGTTATTGTTGGGAACCATGTTGTTGTTTGCTTATTGTGCTTGTTGTTGGGAAACATGTGGTTGTTGTTTGCTTATTTTGGTTGTTGCTGGGAAACATGTGGTTGTTGTTTGCTTATTGTGGTTGTTGTTGTTGGGAAATATGGTTGTTGTTTGCTTATTGTGGTTGTTGTTGGGAAACATGTGGTTGCTGTTTGCTTATTTTGGTTGTTGTTGGGAAATATGTTGTTGTTGTTTGCTTATTGTGGTTGTTGTTGGGAAATATGGTTGTTGTTTCCTTATTGTGGTTGTTGTTGGGAAACATGTTGTTGCTGTTTGCTTGTTGTGGTTGTTGTTGGGAAACATGTGGTTGTTGTTTGCTTATTGTGGTTGTTGTTGGGAAATATGGTTGTTGTTTGCTTACTGTGGTTGTTGTTGGGAAACATGTGGTTGTTGTTTGCTTGTTGTGGTTGTTGTTGGGAAACATGTGGTTGTTGTTTGCTTATTGTGGTTGCTGTTGGTAAACATGTGGTTGTTGTTTGCTTATTCTGGTGGTTGTTGTTGGGAAACATGTTGTTGCTGTTTGCTTAGTTTGGTGGTTGGTTGGGAAACATGTTTTACATTTGTTGCTTATTGTGGTAGTTGTTGGTAAACATGTGGTTGTTGTTTGCTTATTCTGGTGGTTGTTGTTGGGACACATGTGTTGCTGGTTGAATATGTTGGTTGTTGTTGGGAAACATGTGGTTGTTGTTTGCTTATTGTGGTTGTTGTTGGGACATATGGTTGTTGTTTGCTTACTGTGGTTGTTGTTGGGAAACATGTGGTTGTTGTTTGCTTGTTGTGGTTGTTGTTGGAAACATGTGGTTGTTGTTTGCTTATTGTGGTTGTTGTTGGTAAACATGGTTGTTGTTTGCTTATTCTGGTGGTTGTTGTTGGGAAACATGTTGTTGCTGTTTGCTTATTTTGGTTGTTGTTGGGAAACATGTAGTTGTTGTTTGCTTTTTGTGGTTGTTGTTGGTAAACATGGTTGTTGTTTGCTTATTTTGGTTGTTGTTGGGAAACATGTGGTTGTTGTTTGCTTACTGTGGTTGTTGTTGGGTAACATGTGGTTGTTGTTTGCTTGTTGTGGTTGTTGTTGGGAAATATGGTTGTTGTTTGCTTACTGTGGTTGTTGTTGGGAAACATGTGGCTGTTGTTTGCTTGTTGTGGTTGTTGTTGGGAAATATGTGGTTGTTGTTTGCTTGTTGTGGTTGTTGTTGGTAAACATGTGGTTGTTGTTTGCTTATTGTGGTTGTTGTTGGGACACATGTGTTGCTGGTTGCTTATGTTGGTTGTTGTTGGGAAACATGTGGTTGTTGTTTGCTTATTGTGGTTGTTGTTGGGACATATGGTTGTTGTTTGCTTACTGTGGTTGTTGTTGGGAAACATGTGGTTGTTGTTTGCTTGTTGTGGTTGTTGTTGAGAAACATGTGGTTGTTGTTTGCTTATTGTGGTTGTTGTTGGTAAACATGGTTGTTGTTTGCTTATTTTGGTTGTTGTTGGGAAACATGTGGTTGTTGTTTGCTTATTGTGGTTGTTGTTGGGAAATATGGTTGTTGTTTGCTTACTGTGGTTGTTGTTGGGAAACATGTGGTTGCTGTTTGCTTATGTTGGTTGTTGTTGGGAAACATGTGGTTGTTCTTTGCTTATTGTGGTTGCTGTTGGTAAACATGTGGTTGTTGTTTGCTTATTCTGGTGGTTGTTGTTGGGAAACATGTGGTTGCTGTTTGCTTATTTTGGTGGTTGGTTGGGAAACATGTTTTACATTTGTTTGCTTATTGTGGCTGTTGTTGGTAAACATGTGGTTGTTGTTTGCTTGTTCTGGTGGTTGTTGTTTCGACACATGTGGTTGCTGTTTGCTTATGTTGGTTGTTGTTGGGAACATGTGGTTGTTGTTTGCTTATTGTGGTTGTTGTTGGGAAACATGTGGTTGTTGTTTGCTTGTTGTGGTTGTTGTTGGGACACATGTGGTTGTTGTTTGCTTGTTGTGGTTGTTGTTGGGAAACATGTGGTTGTTGTTTGCTTATTGTGGTTGTTGTTGGTAAACATGTGGTTGTTGTTTGCTTATTCTGTTGGTTGTTGTTGGGAAACATGTTGTTGCTGTTTGCTTCTTGTGGTTGTTGTTGGGAAACATGTGGTTGTTGTTTGCTTATTGTGGTTGTTGTTGGGAAACATGTGGTTGTTGTTTGCTTATTGTGGTTGTTGTTGGTAAACATGTTGTTGCTGTTTGCTTATTGTGGTTATTGTTGGGAAACATGTTGTTGTTTGCTTATTGTGCTTGTTGTTGGGACACATGTGGTTGTTGTTTGCTTGTTGTGGTTGTTGTTTGTAAACATGTGGTTGTTGTTTGCTTTTTCTGGTGGTTGTTGGTGGGAAACATGTTGTTGCTGTTTGCTTATTTTGGTTGTTGTTGGGAAACATGTTGTTGTTGTTTGCTTATTGTGGTTGTTGTTGGGAAACATGTTGTTGCTGTTTGCTTATTGTGGTTATTGTTGGGAACATGTTGTTGTTTGCTTATTGTGCTTGTTGTTGGGAAACATGTGGTTGTTGTTTGCTTATTTTGGTGGTTGGTTGGGAAACATGTTTTTCATTTGTTGCTTGTTGTGGTTGTTGTTGGGAAACATGTGGTTGTTGTTTGCTTATTGTGGTTGTTGTTGGGAAACATGTGGTTGTTGTTTAAGCTTATTGTGGTTGTTGTTGGGAAACATGGTGTTGTGTTTTGCTTATTGTGGTTGTTGTTGGGAAAACATGTGGTTGTTGTTTGCTTGTGTGGTTGTTGTTGGGAAACATGTGGTTGTTGTTTGCTTATTGTGGTTGTTGTTGGGAAACACGTGGTTGTTGTTTGCTTACTGTGGTTGTTGTTGGGAAACATGTGGTTGTTGTTTGCTTGTTGTGGTTGTTGTTGGGAAACACGTGGTTGTTGTTTGCTTATTGTGGTTGTTGTTGGGAAACATGTGGTTGTTGTTTGCTTGTTGTGGTTGTTGTTGGGACACATGTGGTTGTTGTTTGCTTATTGTGGTTGTTGTTGGGAAACATGTGGTTGTTGTTTGCTTGTTGTGGTTGTTGTTGGGAAACATGTGGTTGTTGTTTGCTTATTGTGGTTATTGTTGGGAAACATGTGGTTGTTGTTTGCTTGTTGCGGTTGTTGTTGGGAAACATGTGGTTGTTGTTTGTTTATTGTGGTTGTTGTTGGTAAACATGTTGTTGCTGTTTGCTTAGTGTGGTTATTGTTGGGAACCATGTTGTTGTTTGCTTATTGTGCTTGTTGTTGGGAACATGTGGTTGTTGTTTGCTTGTTGTGGTTGATGTTGGGAAACATGTGGTTGTTGTTTGCTTATTGTGGATGTTGTTGGGAAACATGTGGTTGTTGTTTGCTTATTGTGCATGTTGTTGGGTAACACGTTGTTTTTGTTTGCTTTTTCCTCGGTTCCCTTGTTCACGAAACGCAGGTTTCAGACAGTCATATTGTCAAATCACGCACGCCTGACAGAGGCCGCGAAGGCAGAAGCACACCTTGTTGTTTGCTTATTGTGGTTGTTGTTGGGAAACATGTGGTTACTGTTTGCTTGTTGTGGTTGTTGTTGGGAAACATGTGGTTGTTGTTTGCTTGTTGTGGTTGTTGTTGGGAAACATGTTGCCGTTGCTTGTTAATTGTGGTTGTTGTTGGGAAGCATGTTGTTGCTGTTTGCTTATTTTGGTTGTTGTTGGGAAACATGTGGTTACTGTTTGCTTGTTGTGGTTGTTGTTGGGAAACATGTGGTTGTTGTTTGCTTGTTGTGGTTGTTGTTGGGAAACATGTTGCCGTTGCTTGTTAATTGTGGTTGTTGTTGGGAAGCATGTTGTTGGCTGTCTTTGCTTATTGTGGTTTAGTGGTTGGAATCCAAGCACTGAAGCTGCTAAATTTTGACAATTGTTGCTCCCCTTCCAACGTCAACCAAGTCAATTGCGTGCCTTTGGAGCAGCTGCGGGGATCCCAAAAAAGCCCACCAGCTGGCAGCCAGCTACCCCAAGGCAAGAACCTTGTTTCGTATGAAGTTTTTGATGGGTGAAGTGATGGAGACCGCTGGCTGTTGGGGCAATAACCCGGTATCTGTGCATATATTGATATCGCTAAAAGTCAACTCGCTGGCTCTTAACGCGTGGAAGGAGAACACAAACAGCACCCCTCTGACGTCGGCTGCAGGGTGCCTCGAATTTGGGGCAGGGAAAAAAGACGTTTTTTTGCCTAGGTCATATGGGGCTCTTAACAAGTAAAAAGAGACCCTACGACGCCCCTCTGACGTTGGCTGCAGGGTACCTCAAGTTTGGGGTCAGGAAAAAGACGTCTTTTTGCCTAGATGGGTCTCTTAACGCCTGGAAGGAGAACAAGCAACGCCCCTCTGACGTCGGCTGCAAAGTACTTTGAATTTGGGCACGGGAGTCTTAACGCGTGGAAGGGAAACAAACAACGCCGCTCTGAGGTGCCTTGAATTTGGGGGTAAGGAAAAAGACGTTGTTTTTTTTTGCCTAGGTCACATGGGGCTGTTAACACGTGGAAGGAAAGGGTACCTCGAATTTTGGGGTAAGGAAAAAGATGTTTTTTTGCCTCGGTGAAACGGGAATGCAAACAACGCCGCTCTGACTTCGGCCGCGGGGCTGAACACGTGACAGGAGAAGAACACTAGCGTCTACTCTTTAAAACGCCCCCCGAAAGGGTATAAAAGCAAGGCCCCCATTTCTATTGTATGCACAACAAGGCCTTTTTGGCACTTTCCTGTTTTGCATGTCCCAGATGCTGAGGATGCTGGAAATGCAAGGGATGCAACCACACAACTTGCAGGAACAGACCCAATCTTCGCGCTCAAGATTTTAAGACTTTCAGACACGCAACATTGACCAAACACAGAAAATACCAGACATGTGGGGGATGCTGGGAATGCAGCCGGCTAGCCGCAAAACAGAAAAAACCAGGTTTTTCGATATTTCCCAAAACCAATCATCAACAACCGATACTAGCAACCCCCTCAAATACCTTAAAAATAGAATTTCAATAGCACGATTATGCAGGGGATGTTTCGCAGTAACTGCTCCGTACAGGTGGGGAATTGCAAACATCACTCATTCTTGCAAATTTCATCAGTTCCTCAAAGTATTGCTGCACTTGGCCCCACCCCAACCCCTAACAGGCCAATTCCCTCATCGCGAAACAGCAAAACACCACTAGCATCTGCAAAAAAAAACAAATTCATTGCATCAAGATAATCCTGATGATGCCGGGGATGCAGGTCCTGCGCGTCCGGGGAACCCCCCCCCCACCCAGAGACCTAGGCGAAACGCAGGTTGAGAGCACGAAAGACCCAAAAACACTGGAAAAATACAGGGTTTGGGACACCTAGCGCAGCATGCCCAAAAAATAGCAGTCCCAAAAGCCTTCGGCTTTGATAAGAGATTCCGAAGGAAGACCAATTTGCGGACTGCCATCTACACGCTCGACTGGCGTCGGCGGATCTATATATATATATATATATATGTATACGTTTGAGGAACGACCCCCCCCCCCAAGGCAAGGAAAGAACCCTGTACCATATATCTCTCGGTGGTTCCAAGTGCCATTCGGTTCCTCGGGTTTTTTGCTTCTGAGCTTCTTAGTGGTTGGATTTCCACTTAACCCACTTAGGTGTCTAGTAGTTTTTCGTTGGTCTGGTGGTTGGATTTCAATTTCACCCACAAGTTATGATTTGTTCCATCCCTTAGGTGTTTCGCTCTTTAGTGTTTCGTGGATGTCCATTGCCACGGATCCTCTTTTTTTTTGAGGTTTTTAGTTGGTTTAGTGGTTGGATGTCCAGTTCACCCACGAAAAGTTAAGAAAGGAAACTTGCTGCTTCAAAACTGCGAAACGAGCACTTTTTCGGCTTGGTTGGCCTTGATCGCTTCTGGCTAGGAATGAAGAGGATCAGAGAGGAGCGAAAAGGAATGGAGAGAAATGGTTTTTCTTTGGCGGATCTGACCACTTTTCGCGCCCAGATCGCCTTGGGATCGCCAGGCCTATGGCCACGCCTTCCCGCAGGGGGGCTGGGATTGGCCGCTGTCGCGGCTGGCGCCTCGCCGGCGCCAAGCGAAAGAATGCGCGGGGCGTGTGGGGTGTTTTTTTTTTGGTTGAGACCCCGTTTTGGGAGGTGTTTGTCTTTTTCAGGGAACAGGCACAGCGTGTCCTTGTTTGATACACCCGTGTTTTTGTTTTGAAAGGGAGCAGGAAAACCACCAATTTCGCGAGCCCCCTATTTTGAGACACCTTGATTGTTTAGTCATCCCCTTTACTCGCGGGACGTGTGCCATCTTTCAGCAAATGCTGGTAAATCCTTTTTCCAACGATGGACAGACGGCACAATTCCCTTGGTTTCATCAAAATTGGCTGGAATCTGCCATCTTTCACCCAACTCTACCCTTCAGAAGTTCGATTCGTCCCCAGTTTGGATTTAATTCGAGGGACTGGTCTACACTTGTCCGAAAAGCGGCAGTCCCGTTCTAAGGGCAGATCCCGGCTTGCAGCTTCCGACGGAAGGTTTGTTTTCTCAAATGGCGTTGCAGAAAGACTTTGGTTTGGCAGGCTGACAAAGTCTAGGTCCCCCAGTAGTACCCTTTTACCCTTTTTTGGGCCTGGACGTTAACAACTTGGAAGACCGTTTTAGCGGTAAACAAAAAGTTTAGACTTGTTCTGACCAATCCACTGGGGAAGTGAGCAATGGTTTGCTATTAGTTGTCAAAAGGCGTTTGGGGATGGGGGCATTTCGATCGCAAAGACACAATTGTTGTTTGCCAGGCTGCCATGTGATGCTAGGCCAGAGCAGATGGGTGTCCAGCGCACAATGCTCTCAAGTGCTCAAGGTGTTGACTAATGGCTCAAGAACTCCTCACTTGGACATGCCGAGAAGGTGTCATGGTGTTTGCTGCTGAGACAGATGTGTGTATTTGAGTTGTGTATTTGAGTTGGGTGTTTGGCTGGCTGAGAAGTAGGGCCCCTCTAATCCCAAGCCCATCCGACACCTGGCATTCAAGACCCCAGCGAAGATTACGAGAAGACCGTCTGCATGCTGCGTGTTTTTTCCCATTTGTTTGACAACAAAGCCAAGGTTGGTTGATACTCTAGGGGTATGTCCAGCGGTGAAAGAGCCACGATTCTTCCTGCTTTATGCTCCGCCCAGCGCGTAGTTGTTTTGCTCGCTGACGGCGAGCACAGCAGATGAAATCACGCAGAAAAGCTCGGGAAGCAGACAAGACATCGCGCAATGAGATGACAGGAGTGCAAGAGCAGCGCTAATTAGTCCGTTTGTATTTCTGTAGCTGAAGCATGCTGGAAAACAAGTTGACCCAGTTGCTGCTAACACCAAGCCCTCAATCCGGTTCGCTCCTCCAACGCTCGCAGCTCTTCCCGGTGTTTCCGTAGCTCCTGGAGAAACTTCCGAAAACTTTTTGTGGGCTTGTTGACTTTTGAGCACCTGGCCATGTGTTGCAAATAGGCACTGCTTGGGATTGTGTTCAACTATTCCCGAGGTTCCACTCGTTGAACATAGCCGCTCGCCAAGTGGTTCAATTTGAAGTTTGTACGTGAATGGGCAAACCAAGTAGGGGCATCCTGTGAATCATGGTCTTCGTTATTCATGGTGGCGGCTCCCCCCCATGCCCATGAGTCAAATCGCAGCGTCCCAGAACTTTGGTTTTTCAAGCCAAGCCCTAAAACAAACAAGCACAGACATAGACACACACACACACACCTATATACACACCTACACACACACAAGCAAACAAACAAAACACACACACACACACACACACACGCCAGTCGCATTTCTTTCAAATCCTTCTACACGCACACACAAACAAACAAATACACACACACACAAATACACACGCACACACACACACACACATGTGGGTCTTCTGATTTGCACAGTCGCGCAGTCCTTCTTGAGGAAAAGAAGCTGCGGCTCCTCGAGCTGGATCGAGACATCATGCAGGCAGATCCTTGGGAGTCGAAAGACGGTTGCTCGGTTTTGAGGCGGAAGCACGAACGCAAGCACCCGCCCAGCCACGGAGAGAGAAAGCAAGAGAGAAAGAGAGAGAGAGAGAGAGAGAGTGAGACACACACACACACACGCAGCACAAAAGCACAGAGTCACACACACACAACACACAAACACAACCCACAACGCACAACGCACAATGCACACACACACACACACATGTGAAAAGCTCCCCGCAAAGAGTAATGATGTAGGTGGTGCCCGTGAGACTTGCAGTGGATTGAGCACATCGTAGTTCCCCCATCATGCCTAGCTGGGTTGGCACGGGTTGCCATCCGGGCCTGTACTCCTTGCGGAGTCCAAAACTGCTGGTCTCAAGCTGTCTCTCACACACACACACACGCACACACACACACATATACACACACAGACACAGACACAGACACAGACACACACATATACACACACATTCATATACACACACAGACACACAGACACACACGTACACACACACATATACACACACAGACACACAGACACAGACACAGACACACACATATACACACACACATTCATATACACACACAGACACACAGACACACACACGTACACACACACACACACGTGCATATACACACACACACACACACACACACACCCGCGTGCACGCGCGCGCGCACACGCACAGGCGCACGCACACAAACATACATAGCACGTACGCGATACGGGTCTAAGCCCATTTTGTCCTGGTATTCTGTTGGTGGAAGTGCCCCAGCGGTTTATGGTAGATGCGTATGGGAAATGAATAGTGATCATGATTGATCCTTGCCCGGTCCGTTGAATTCAGTAAGTCCTTGTGAGGGACTTATGTACGCTTCCCACAAAAAACAGCAGGATGCAGATTGTCCCCACGTCCATAGGGGAAGGGGTACCACCACGTTTTTGATGTGGCTCATGTACTCAATTTATTTGGTCCACCTCGGTGGTTTTGGAACCATGGGCTGTCCACCAATGTGAGGAACCTGGAAAACTCGCAAAGAGCGACCCAGCATCCAGGGGCCTGCGAGGAGCTTCTGACTTTGCAGCTTTGGACACGCAGTTTGCAGTTTCAGCATGGGGCCATATGAATTTGGCTATTTTTGTTCCTGGGGCAGAAGGCAAATCCTGCTCCCTTGCTTTCATGTGATGGCTCAAGCGCAAACACTCGTGCACCTTGATGTTTCTTGACACACCGAATTGCCCGTACACGGTTGGCTTGCAACAGCCTTGGCGGTTGCTTGCCGCTTGAAAAAGATGTGCGCCAACCACCCCAGAATTGTTTCGGCCGACGCTTACTGGGCAATCATTTGGACAATACCAACATTCCCACAGCCACAATGAAAACCCGGGTAGATGAAGGTTAGTGAGGGACAATCCCAACCATAAATAGCTGAAGGTTAGTGAGGGACAATCCCAACCATAAATAGCTGCGGCCGCCATCGAAATCCTTCACATGGTTCTGGGTAGAACATATTTAATACCGGATTTTGATTATGACTCACATTCGGAAAAACAAATGGCCACAACACTCACCAGGCACATGGTTCCCCGCTTTTGCCCTCGCATGGAGAGCAAAGAAAGCTGCTTGGGAGCAAGAGAGCAGATTTGGACACGGAGGTGCTTAATTTATACAGGGGACACCGCGGGCAATAAGCCTGGCAAAGACTTGCTTTTCAACCTTTCTAGGTTGCATAGCTTCAAAAACACCAAGTGAGTGGGGACAGTTGGACTTTTTCTCTTGTTTTGAAAACAACTTGTTTCGTGGCAAGGAAGAGTTTGGCCCTTTCAATGGCCAGTCCACTCCAGTGAGTCTACAGCGTGTCATTCCGAGCGCGTGGGAAAGGCAACTCTTGCAAGCCCTTATTTTTGTGCTCTTATGTTCACACCAGACCCAGACTAACCTATACCCCCCGAGAGTAGATGTGACTCCTCTAGGTACGTACCCCTTAAACTGGTTGCACAAAGCTCGGTCTGGGCTCAGGCCGATCGTGATGAACTCGCTCAGGCTCTCCGGGAATCGCGCCCGGGGCCTCGCATATTTTTTCATGGCTGCAGAATGGCGAGCCATGTGCCCAAGCCTTTGGGTTGAGCAGGGGGCCCCCACCCACCGGACCCCACACAGGATGGGCTGTACACTTTTCGGGTGTCGCCCTTGTCAAGCAGAAACAAATTCAACCGGCGACTGGAGAGACTCATGCGCGCTGTTTCTCAAGCTTGTGAATAGTAGACGATAGCACAAACTTCGGATCAAGATAGAATTGCTAAGGGTTGTCCGTGGTGAAGAAAGTTCAAGTTCCTTGGGAACATCACAGATCAATGTGAAGTCATGCGATGATGTACCCTTTGCCCAGTTGATTTATTATTCTGACGCAGTTTCCCAGCCTCCAAATCCTTGAGCCAATTAGAATGCGAGCAACCAGTTTGGTGTCCTTGTCTAGCCCCTGTGGTGTGTGTGTGTGTGTGCGTGTTTTGCAGCTCCCGTCAGGGAGGCTGAGCGGAGAAAGTCGAGATCGCTGAGGTCTGGCCAAATGACAAGTCTGTTGGTTCCGCTTGTTTTCTAAGTATTCATGGTGAACCTGAGCCAATTCGCCAAATCCGGGATTTGTCCACCCTCATGACTCATATGCGAGTGTTTGCCCTCCGAGAACAGCATTTGGCCAGATAGCTGTTGCCTGCTGTTCCGGCACGTTGCGGAACATATCCTGAGCTCACAGCAACGCTTGAGGTGAATGTAAGAGGTGTCTGATTGCCCACAGAAGGACATTTCTGGCCATCTCTTTTATGGTCCTTCATTACGTAGACGGATACAGCGAATCCGCGCAGGCACCTCTTTCATCCACATTGCATTTAGTTGTTTAATCCGCGAACGCCGCTTGGAGAGTCTTCCGCCTTGCGGGATGGTCATCTAGGGACCTTTGCATCTCCAGCGGCATTGCATGTAGCCGCGCTCGGGAGGTCCATGATCGGGGGAATCAGGAAACCCGCGTGCCCTTTGAAAGAGGCGCTGTGCATATTTTAGAGGTGTTGTTTGTTTCGGATTTTGGAGTGATTCCTCTCAGCGAGGTTTTCACTGGGGCTGAATCTTCGAAACGAATGCCCTGGCCGCGAATTCGCAAGAGCCTGATGTCAGGGAAGCAGAAGAAAGCTAGAACATACTTGAGTTCCGTAAGACAACCGCCAGCCGGTGCAGCTTTGCTGCATGAAGCTATTTTTGTGTTCCGGCCTTTTGGCCAAAAAAGAAACTTGCTTGCACCTCAGCCTGAGAAGTCCTAACCCCGCGGGCACGCATCCAAGAGAGGTTCTCATGTTCGTGATCTGACTGGTATCGGCTCCTAGCTCCAAGATGCAGTTCAATGCTTGACACCTGCGCGGAAGAAAAATAAAAATAAAAAACGCAGCTCGACGCGCTTGGAAAAGAACCAGAAGTGTGCCAAGACATGTTGGACCTCCGCCCGTTTGGATCCTGTTCTTTTGGTTCATACTGTGGGTGGACGAAATCCATTTCGCACCACCTAAGAAGTCCTTGAATGATGATTCCCCTGTCAATACCAACAAACAACATGGCTTCAAAGTGGTGCAGGATTTCGTGCATCCACAGTACCTTGGTATCCAAAAACGGGCAACATGAATCCTGCAACAGTGCTCCTAGGCCCAGGATAGGGACCACTCTGGTGTGGCCCGTCAATATGGGGGGGGTATCTGTTTGAAGGTTTTGGACCCCAAAAATGGGTGGTTTTCCTTGTGGTTTCCCTTTGAAGCCACCAAACAAGAGCTACAGAAAGACACACCCACCTCAAGATTCACAGGGTGGTTGAAAGGATCTCAACCTCGAGCGATTTTTGGAACCTAAGTGCCTCCTAAAGGAAGCAGTGCCCATAGAACTGAATGGTCCCCATTCGTGGCCCCCTCCCGGAATTGGGGTCTAGAGATTTCTTGATTGTGCGAGTCGACATAGTTGTGCCCAACAGTTGGAACCCTCTCGAGTGGAGCCCGGCGCGCTTTGCCCTCCATTTGGAAGGGTTTCCTATTTCGAGGAATGCTACATGCCAGCTCCTAGAGCATACATCAGAACCTGAGTCCCCTAGTGCCGCAAGAGAAGGTCGGTCGGCCTTACTCGCCGACAAGTCCAATGAATGTGAGAGGGGGGGGGCTGTGAACCGCAGCTCAGACGACCTTCGGTGCTTAGGGAACGCCAACAACTGGTCTTACACACACTGATTTGGTTGAAGCTCATCCCAAGAGGCGGTCCCCAATCTTAAAAACTAAATGTAGAAGTTGTCACATGTTACCACTGGGACTAGTGACTCCCTCGAAGGTACCCTTGAAACAGTCGCGAAGATGAAATCCATCAAACGCATTTTGAGCCCCCCGAATTCTTCCTCAATGCACCCAGGATTGGGCTCAAGCGCTTCGGCCTTTTTTTCCCATGGGCCTGGACTGTAGCAAGCCAGCACCAGAGATGTTGAAAACCTACGGCGCGCACTACAACAAGAATGTGACCCCCGGCGGGAAAAAGGCGGAAAGCGCTTCTGCCGCAGCATTGGTCAAGCGGCACCCTTGAACTGCGGGAACCATCCCTTGAACCCGAAAGCTAAAAATGGCTCCTGTTGCAACTAGCATCCGTTGGGGTATGACGGTATGACATATAACATGCAATGTGTATGTATATATATATACACACATACATGTAGACATATGTGCATATATATATATTGTATATATATATATGCACATAAATACATATATATATATATATATATACTACACATCCCTGTCCGTGAGCTTTGGGCCGGCGTCTGAGGATGTTCCTGTGCAACCACAACTCCTGCCGGTCCCAGATGGCGGACGCCTGGCTGCGGCAGCTGCGCGGCAGCGCCTCCGTGGGGGTGGCCTCTGCTGGGATTGTGGGAGGCACCGCGGTGAAGGACCGCGAAGAGATTTTGGCCTTGCTTGAAGTGCTCTTGACGGCTATTGGGTTGGATCTTTAGACTTTAACTTTTTGGAAACCCAAGGCGTTTTCCACCAACCCCCCAAAAAGTTAAACTTTTTGCAGGGGGTCAACAGCAACCAAGTGCTTGGCGACCATTGAAGTGAAATCCAGAGAGTTGGAGCCTTGCTTCCTTTGAAGTCCATCTATTTCATTCGGATCCCCCGCAGGTCTTTTTTTTTTTTGCCTGGTTCGCCCGCCATGTTGTCGACCTTCTTTAAGGCTCCCTCTTGACTCAGTTCCCGAGTAGATTAGCCAGAAAAAAGTACCCTCACTTTTCTGTACCACCAAAATGGTCCAAACCCAAAAAGTGACAAAAGTCCGAAACGGAACTCAAGTGAGTTACCCTCCCACCAAGTATGTAACATGGAAGTGCACAGACCCCCTTTCCAAAGGAGAGGAAAGCGGTCTTTCTACAAGGGTCTGTGCACTTCCATGGGAGTTGGTGGGAGGGTACCTCCCGTCTCTTTCATGGAACCTGACGTTTCGGGGTCCAAGACTATTTATTCTCCCTGAACAAGGACCTGTGGGTTTCATGTGAGTGGTTGGAGGAAACCAGGACGGGGGCTGGGGGAGGGGGGGGTTGAATCCTATTCAGGCTTATAAACTCAGGTGGTTTGGTCCAAGAGGATTATCATGTGAAACACCATGTTTTAGATGGAGTAGATAAGCTGGATGGACAAACTTCACAAACCGCGGCTGTTGGGCAGGACGTGACTTTCAAAACAAACTCATGAAGGTTGGGATCATTTGCTTCGGGTTTTGGGACGGTTTCAGTTGCTATGTGTACCCTGAGAATTAGAATTGAGTCTGTAAAGAACGACATGTACAGAATCAAGTCGCAGGGTCAACTCAGCGGGCGCAAGAACTGCTTGCAATTCGGCATAACATGGGTGCAAGTGCCAAGCTGACGCAGTTTCGGGGACTGGTGGGGGAACCTAGGTTCAAGCACTTGATCTCGCCGAAGCCCCCGGGGGCGGGGTTGGATAGATGTCTCCGGGATGGTTTGTTCTTTTCGGAGTTCAGTTGTTGGCCGCAAATCACAGTGAAGACACCAGCGATGGAACTTGCCTCTTGCCACCTCTTGGTACGGCTTTTTTGCAATCGCTCTCGTCCCCCCTGCAAGCTTTGGGCGTCAAAAAACACAAAAAAAAGCTCTGTGGCTCGGAACGGGGCGGACCTCCGGCTCGGAGTAGCTTGGGGAGGCTTCCGGAGAGGGGTTCCGGAGAGGGGTTCGTGGTTTTGGAACTTTTTCAAGGAGGGCTTTCAGTCCGGAGAGCGGGGGGTTAAACCCGCGCCACTTCCGCCGGGCCTTCCGTGGTCTTTGGTTTTCGAAGGGTGTCGAAGGGTGTCAGGAGGGCGCCATTGCGGTGATGAAGGAGGCGGGCATCGACATCTCCGAGTTCAGCTCCGACGCCATGGCGGACTTCAAGCCGGAGGACTTCGATGTGGCGCCTCGGATGGGTGAGTGGGACGTGGTGAAGCACGGCTCGGTTCCGTTGTTTTTTTTTTGTTCTGGGAGCCGGTTTTTGCAACGGGCTCCTTTTTTTGGAACGGCGAACCAGCGTGGAGCGCGTTTTGTGCAAGCTCAAGGTGGTAGAGTTCTCAGGGGAACTGTTTTTAAGGGGTAGTCTTCTGAATGGCGAACCAGCGCTGGAACCAAGGGACAATCATGCAAGTATTGTCTTTGGCATCCCGCAATGTGGGTGACCCAAGATGAATTCATGCTGGTAAATGCTGACTGCTACCTGGTGAATGGCGCCCTGAAACGGGAGATACTTGAAAAGATTGGGTGGGACTTGGCCGGCTGCTTCCACCCGGGTTCCTGTGAGGGAAGACCTTGAATCGAAGGGCTTCCAATGTATGGCACACCGATCCAGACGAGCTCGCCGAACAGGTTGTCAGACCAGCAACTTGTTCCGACCGATTCAGTTTTGGGTTGAATCGCTTTCCATTTTGTGCAACCCCTAAATCGTTTGCTGTGTGGGTTGCCCCCTTTGTCGAAAATCGTCCAACTGTACAAGATTCGGAAAGGTCGTAAGAGATGTGAAGAGGAGAGGTTCTTCTGCGCCTTGCTGCTCGCCTTTGCATGTTGCTGACTGAGACCTTCCTATTGGTGATTTGTAGATTGCTGCTTGTGCGCTTATGGCTGTTTCCAAAAGTGAAAGCGCGACATGACCAGGCTCTTTCGAGATTGCAGGCATCCAAAGGCTTGCCGCTACCACTTTGATCCAACAAAAGACTCCCAGCACCAAAGATGTAAAGGCCCTGGTGCACACAAGCCAGTGGAAGGTGTGCATTCGCCAGCGCTTGGGCGCTTGGGAGGATGGATTGCCTGTGAGTAACCAAGGTGGATATGGGTCAAAATTAAACCACCAGGGGACCGCAGGTTTTAGTCCTTGGTTCAATTTGCCGGGGTTCCATTTTGGGGTTTGCCTATGTTTGACCCAGGTGATTTCGTGCTGTGGTTGTGGCAGCAAGCTGGATGGAGACAAGGAAGCCTGGAAGCAGCGCGCCGTTTTCCAGGACTGGAACTTGGATGATCCGCCGGCCATCGACCCTGGTGACCTCTCTGCCTACCGCAGGGTGAGGGATGAAACCAAGGCCAAGTGTCAAGAGCTTCTTGCGAGCCTGTCTTAGGCTGAAATGCGTGAAACCCTTCATTTTGTCCACCACGCTGCTTTTGCAATGAGCAAAGTCCAATTCTCTTGTGTCTGACTCCTGCCTGAGGCAGGGTAAAGACTGGGGAGTGGCGATGGAAACCCACGTGGTCATCGCCCTCCCGGATTCCAATTGTTCGAGGTACATCTTGCCCTGCATGCGTTCCTTCGGGAGACAACGATAAACGGAGCAAGAGCAACAAAATACAAACATAGCGAAAAAGCAAGGCAAAGAACTATCATATGCTTCAAAAAGACTTAATCTTGTGCAAACATCAGGAAAACAAATCGACGAATTTGGTTTGAATTGAACGGGACTTGGAGAAGGCATGATTTATAATTTATTTGATGTTATAAAATTAAATATTGAGACTATTTCTATGAATATTATTAAGAATTAATATAATATTAGTTATTTTATGAATTAAAATGTTATATTGTTTATTTAAATAATATAAATAAAATATAGTAGTTGTTCGCTAGCTGCCACTAGCTTTCTCTCCCAGATCGCCTTCTCCTGGATTGCCCCAGGCAGCTCTATGACCTCATTTGAGACCAACTCCACTCAGACATCGATTCTCGGTTGGGGCTCGCACGGGCACTAAGTAACCATGGGCACTGGAAGGGTTTGTTTGTTCTGCGTGTCTCTGAACTTAACTGGGGCTGAAACTTCGAGTTGTATTAAAGTTGTGTTTGAGTTGTTAAGCTGCCTTGAACCGAAAGTAACACATCCCCGGGCTGTGAATGGTTAGCCTTGATTTAAAATATTTTTAAAAAAAAAATAAAAAAAAATGGGTGGTATTGAATAATATAGATTAATATATTGATTATATTGATTTACTAAATTTGATATATATTATTCTCTTATATACCGGTATGACTTCGAGGTCGTATTTGCCGTGTTATGCTTGTGTTGTTTTTTTTTTCTCCGTGGCTTTTCGCGCGGTCCGGAAGGCCTCGAAATTGTGCCGAAATTTGGGGGGGGGGGTTTTAATAACTTTGCTTAGAGTTTCCGCGGTGTAATCCGGTTATATTTTCTTAAATGTTGGGTTGTTTTCGGCGATATGGTTTTTAGATTTCCGGATGTTATTCTCGTAAATTTCTGCAGAATTTGGCGGCTTTTTGAAACAATTATCGGGCCAAATTTCGGGGAAATTTGGGGATTTGTCCGAATCGAAATTTCTCGAAAATTTCGTGCCGGGTGTTTCCGTATCTTTATTTTTTTTTGTGTTTCTTAGGTTGTTTTTGTGTGTCCGTATTTTATTTATTCGTTATTGTTTGTCTATTTTTGTGCGTTTTTGTGTATCCAAATTTGTTTCTTTTGGGTGTTTGAATCTCTTTGTCTTTATTTGTTTGTTTATGTTTTTTTGTTTGTTGGGTTGTCTCGGTTTATCTTTGTTTGTTTTTATGTGTTTATGTTTGTTGTTCGGCTTTATTTTTTGCATTTTTTTGTGTTTCTTTGTTTATTTCCGCGTGTCTGTGTTTGTTTATTTGGTAATGGTTGTTTATATTTGTTTTTGTTTGTTTCTTTTTTGTGTGTTTGTGCTTGTTTTTGCGGGTCGGTTCATAAAGATGATATCTTTTCGCATTGTCGTATGCCATATTTCTTCTTTTTTAAGCTCTATTTGTTTGCTTTCGTTTTGTTATTCTTTTCGTTGTTGATTGTTGTTAGCATTCTGCTTCTTTGTTTGTTTGTTTCCGTTTTTTTCTCTGTTTTTTTTCCTCTTTCTCTTTCTCTTTTTTTCTTTTTTTTCTCTTTTTTTTTTCTCTCTTTTTTTTTTCTCTTTCTTTCTCTTTTTTGTTGTTTTTTTTGTTTCTCTATATTATTTTGTTTTATTTTTTTTTCTCTCTCTTTCATTTGGTTTTCTCTATTTCTTTCTTTTTTATTTTTTTTTCTCGTTATTTTTGTTTCTTTCTTTCTTTTTTTCTATTGTTATTTTCTGGTTTTTTTCGTTTTTTTTTTTTTTTTCTCTGTTTTCTCTATATTGGTTCTCGTTTGTTTCCTTGGTGTTTTCTGTTTTTTTTGTTTTTTCTATATATATATATATTAATTAGTATGTTAATATTAATTATTGTTTAGAGGAAAATTATTGTGTTTTAATTTCTTATTTATATTAAATATATCGGTATATAGTTGTTTTAAGTTTAATATGGTAGTATAAAATATTTAGGGTGAATTTTAATATATATTTATAAATTTAGATATATAGTAGTGAATACGATTATTTACTTGGAAATATTTGATGATTTTTTTTATATAGTATATAAATAACACCAAAAATAATAATGTTAGCTGAACATGTATAAGGTAGCACCACCATAAAAAGATATAATATATTCGAAGAATCGAATTATAAATTGATAATATATTATGGGCTACAAGATCCTTCACCTATTGAGATAATTAGAACAATTATAATTGCCAGCTACAAACGACTAACTTGAGATAGCAGCACCTTCATAAGCAATAATAGAGTAATGGATATAATTGAGCAACAATTTCATCACATTTGGTGAACATATACGATGGATTAATATTTATAATTTGCAAATAAAACGCGTAAGGCAACAGCTTCAAGATATAACGACCACTACACTTAAGATACTCCATACTATTTAGCACACGAAGCATTATTTACCGAACAAGCTTACCTAAATTTTAGCTTGATAAATAGAAATTTGAAAAGATTTTTATAATATGGGAATCTAAAATCGTTAAATATATTTAAAATCATTATATATTATTATTAAATACAATTAACATCATAATACTACTTCGTGAAGTAAAAGGATTATTATAGTAACACCCATAATCATAAGTAGGATATTATAGAGCAACATTATTATCTAATAGGCTAAAAACAATTACATTAGGCAACAACAACAACTTAAGATTAGCATTAATGGAAAAAACACAAGATATAATATTTAAAGGAACAGATAAGGGATAATCAACAAATAATTATTATAGATAAGGTAAGAAATATTACAACAATTAACCAGGAGGAAATGGAGCAAAAGGAAAGCAAACAACAAATGATTATTATAGATATGGATAATTAGGACATATGCCTAAATAATATATCATAATGATCTACAATTTCGATATTAATAATCAGATAGATGATTGGTTAGGTATACTATAACACCAATTAATATTGTTAGGATTAGATATAGATGTAACAACTAGCACTATAACAATTAATAGATTCATCAATAATATTTATTTTAGGATTACAAGAAATAATAATTGCTATGATTTGTATAGCATAACATTTTATAGAAAATAATAAATGGGTTAATTTTATAATTGATAATAGTACGGTTATACCTATATACTAACCATGGTTTATAGCATAATTTCCATTATAGTGCTTCGAGCATGGAATAGGATTATAATTGAGAATGGGTACAGATGTATTTGCATGATAAACCAGAATGGATAATAGATTATTATATTATTTTATGTTTGTGAGGTTAATTAGCTAATTATTTCGGTTATAAAACTGATAGAATAAGATTTCCAATTTACACTGGATAATAATCCAAGATTATAGCATACTAAAGGATTTAATAAAGCATTTGGAGAATAACAATTATTTATTTTTCTTAAAAGCAGAAATGATAAAATTGCAAAGAAGAATAACATTATAGATATATAGTATATAACAAGGATAAATTGGCATAATAACACCGATTATAATGTTTACACTACAAGATCCATAAATACAAATTATATAGGATATTATTAGTAGTTTAATATATAGAATAAATTTATTAAAATATATAGACAATATAAATAAATATTATTCATATTATAAAGAGTATAAACTTCAGTCTTAATAGAACAATTTAAGGATTATAAAAAAAATAGATCTAAGGATGGCATAACAAACACATTTAAGGATAAATATTAACTAATATATATATAATAGCAAAGGCGGAAAGGAAAAATAAATTTAATATCGAGAAAGGCATAATAATACTAGAGACATTGTAGCAACAATTTGCAATAAAAACACAATCGAAAAACATACTACAAAAAAATACACCACAAATAATTTAATACAAGCTACGCACACGACTCAGAGAGAAACAACAGCACAGGACATAGTAATACCACACACCACCAAAAATATAGCTAAATAAGGATTATTATATCCTACAGAAATATTTTATGGAGGAGATTATTAATATAAAGAAAATCTATATTGGAAGCGAAGACATGTTAAGCCACTACACACCAAAGTAGACAGAAAATGGATTAGATATTAAACGATTTAGATCTTGCAAACAGATTAAGGTATAACTAGTAGGAAAACAACATAACACAAAGTTAGTAAAAAAAAAACAAAAACATAGACAATATAATAAGCACAAATATTAATCAAGTTTTGGATAGACTGGATAAATTTCGAGCAATATTAAGAATTTTTAATATAATTTGTATTGTTATTCGATAACAAAACGTCGCCGAACTATTAGCTAGTGGGATAGTGGGAATCTAGGTACTTTGATTTTTGGTTTAAGGCGCTTTGCCGATGTTGGTCGGAATACACGGGGGGGGATAGGATTGTTTGCGCGGTTGATAGCAGCATTTCGATCCAATATATAATGTCCATGGTGAGGCTATTGCATGGCATCGGCATAGATTTATTGCTAGGATCTTCCATTTAGGACCGTATTTTAACGAGGGGCATTATCGTAGTTTTGTTGCCGGAAAGAGCATTGTAGCACATCGCCATAACCTTTGTTTTCCGACCCTCTTTGGGGAGTTGTGTGTATGGTGCTGCATAGATGATGGGGTGGTAGTTGTGGCAAGTCCGTCTAAGGAAACGGAAGACTTATTTGTATATCGTTTATTGGACCCTTTCGACAGGATGCATAATTCTCTTAAGCTAATCATACCTAAATAATTATTATATATATTAGATCGACAAAATAGAATTTATTTTACTAACAAAATATTTCGAAATAAGAAAACCATTATTTATTTGTGGACGATAACACTTTAGATAAATATGCTTATATGGATCCCTCAATATTATACCAAAGGCATTTCGTATTAGATACATTATATACGATATATAATATTAAAAATTGTAAACAAGGATTTTGTTTAAAAAAAATCTAAAAGGCTTAAATCTTATTGTATGCATATATATAAACATCCTTAGTTTCGTGATAAAAATAATATTTCGTATATAAAACTACAAAATTCGTAATAAATATATTATATAAAATATGCA